TCGGTGTTCGGAATTCGCTCTTCTTCCTTTCGATCACATTGGACCAACGCCTCCATTCAAAGCCTCATAATTTCCTCACCCGGCCAGCCTATTAGTTCCTGATTCCACCGAAATTCGTCAAGGAGTGACATTCGAAGCGTCGGATTTCGATTTTCGGCAGCTCTACCTCGATTCCCTGTGAGGTTCTCCGCGGTGGATGTTTGACATTCGATTTGAATATTCTCTCTTCTATATTTCCGCATTCGCCCCGAGCCCCGCTGATCTTTTGGGCATTTCATTTTTTTTTATTTGTTTCTTTTCCTTCTTTTCCAGCGCTCTATGGGCCTGATTCCGGAATCTGTCTGAAACTTGAGGATATTTCCAGATTTCGAATCGTTGCAACCGGCCACATGATGTCAATGAGTCAATCATCGATATGAGGTCCCGAAACTAAGCTCTATTATGTCGACCTGTCAGTAGTCAGTAGTTTCGGCAGCCGAGAAAAGAGCCTCTTGAGTCCGTAGCCTTTCAGAGCCGGGTCTGGACAGTTGGATTTATCTAGTACCTATTAATCTATGTTAATGCAGACTCGTTTATCACGGCGCCTTGCGTTATCGAGAGCACATTGCCTACCTTTTTTCATACTTCGTCTTCTTTTTTAGATGTAGACGATGCGACTTCTCAAACCGAGCTGCCATCTGTGGTCTGACGCCCTGTGGTGGCGCGGCCGCCGCCGCCGCGCTAGTGGAGGTGGTCGTGGTAACCTTATCTGTGCGGCGTGGCAAGCTGTCATTTATCCAAAGTTCCCTCGACCCTGTATTGCATCTCCCCGAACGAAAGAACGAACGAACGAGCGAACGAACGACCGACCGACCGCTGATCCCCCGCCCGATTTCTCACCCATGCAATTCTCCATTCTCCATGGAGAATGTGTGGTCTTTTAAAATTCGCAAAAACAGTCCCCCGATGCCTTTGGCCTCAAGGTTGGCTCTCTCGGGAACTAGTCAGGTGTGAGTGTGTGTGTGTGTGTTTGCGGTGAGTGACTATGCGCCCGAATCATAGAACAATGAATGCCGCGAGCTCGAGAGGGCTCTTTGTGACCGGAGCATGATGTACCCGCGTTCTCCTCTCGAACAGGTTACCTCGAGAGCAAACAAATTCCCTCCAGCTACAGAATCTTTGACATGTTTCCGGGTCGGCGCATCTATCCCGGCTCTTCCTCGTTTCTGAAGAATGTGCGGGACGAATATATTTTCCGCTGGGGATAAATCGAGAAAAGATCGGAGGCACAGACTCATGAAGAGCAGAGCTGCGGTGGTCGTCGAGTCGACTTGATCCTCATCGTCCTCGTCGAGGGAAATGGAGAAGAAAGGCTGGAGTGAAGTTAAGTGGTTTGACGGCTGGCTCTCTGCTGCCCCAAGTTGCAAACGATGAGGTGGAGGAACGCGCGCGAAAAACGACACCGCTATGGCAAGGCGACACCAGGCAAAGCGAAGGCGACACCACTCTACGAGGAAATATTCTGATCCGTCAGAGATCCGCTAGTCCTCCGCTGTTGATGCCTCTGGTGTCCCGAACGCTCTCTGCGGTCTTTTGTCACCCCCCGTCCCCATGGCCACAGTTTCTCCGCCCGATGCTTCATTAACCCGCGACTGGATCATAAGGAAACCCTGCTCCGAGACCTCGTGGAGCTTCGGCATCGCCCAGAGCTGAACGATTATCCTCGACGTGGATTTTCGACCGCGGAGCGACGGCTGCCGTTCCATACGGAGTCGAGTAGGGGCATAATCGACTACACATAAACAGATCCAGTGTCTCGCACGAAAAGCTATTCAGTGAGTCGACAGTCAGCCAGCCAGCCAGTCAGTCAGTCAGTCAGTCAGTCACGGACGCTCCTCACAAGGGCTCCGGCAAAGGAGTTGAATTCTTAGGATAGAAGAAAAAGACCCGGCGGAGAGTGCTCATACGGAGAGGGACTTGCTCAGAGAAACGGGTGAGCGGCGGGAAATAGACCCCCATCATATTTCTGCCCTACCCAGCCCGAAGAGAGGTCTACCTCACGGCCTAGGCCATAACGGCGACTGAGCCTACCTCCGAGAATTATCGGGAGCCGAATCACCCTGAGGAAACACTGAGGGAAAGAAGAATCATCCACAGAGAACACCCGCACTACCGGGGCCGGAATAGGAGCGGAGAGCGAGTGTTTTCGCGCATATTTGCAACTGTTCGATTCTCGCCGGCACACGACCCACGACGGTGACAAGCGGCCGCTCTTCTCTGGTGGCGCGGAATTTCGAACTGCCGAGCTTCGAGCAGGCGCCCCAGAATGAGGGATCCCGGACCGTCGGGGCTTCTGCCGAGGAGAAACCAGGAACAGGAAGAGATGGCAGAGAGGCCTGGCACCGATGAGAAGAGAGAAATAGACGGAAGAAGCGAACGGGAGAACGAGGTGGAAACCGACGACGTCTCAGAGACAATGGAGCTGGAGGACTTAACCTCAGAAAGACTTGAGAGAGCAGTAGGTAAAAACCTAGCCGCAGTCTTGACGAAAGCGACAATGCAAGCAAAGCTGTCGGTAAAGAAAACGGGAGAGATAAACGAAACCCCGAAGGCTGGAACCTGGCTACCAGCCCCGATACAGCTTGCTCCCCAGGAGACTCCGACACGAGATGCGGTGCTCGCGGCTCCGAGACTCAAGGCCCCCACCAGCTCGGAAATTCGCAGGGAGTCGAAACCGAACTCCGAGAGGGTGAACAAAAGGAAGACCCTCCTATCTCCAGAGAAGGACGAGCTGGAGAAGCGACCTCGAAAGATAGACACCATGGAAGAATTAATGTGTCTCGTCAGAGAGAGGATCGAGACCTACGTCAGAACAAAGGTGCAGGGGATCAAGAAAGAAGAGAGACCGAACACCGACAGGAAGGTGAAAACCTTCACCGACAGCCTGATGCGATCCACCGACAGACTCGAGAGAGAAATCGTGGAGGCGATAGAGGAAAGTTTCGCCACCCAGAAGGAGAAAATCGAAGCAAGATGCCGAGTTACGCCGCGCTGCACATGCGAAAGGAGCACCCAGACCGAGAAACTGAGAGGACCGAGATCACAGGAGGGAGCGGCACAGGCAGAGGAAATCAGAGAGAAATTTATCAGCTTGAAAACCGTGGAAGACATGGCAGAACTTGCCGAGACAGAGTGGCCGAGGGACACTTGCTCAAGAGTGAGCACCACAAAAACGGGAATCATGTCGAACAGAAGTACGAAGATCCTCATTGTCGATCCTGAAGACAAGGAGCAGAGGACGACCAATGTTCTAGAACAGCTGGAGAAGTCTTCCCCAGCAATAAGAGGAGTAAGATCTCTGGACGACGGAGAAGTCGCAAGCACCGAGACCAATACACCCTCAGCCCTAATGAGAGATTTTGGGGATCGCGTGGAAACCGAGAGAAGGACTCTCATCATCGGGAAAAGCCGAGGGATGGCGAAAACATGTGACATGATCGAAGTCATACAGAAAATAGCGCTCAGGGCGGACCTGCTCCGCACGAAAGAGGATGAAAAGATCCTGATACAGATTCCGAGTACGTGGGACGCTGTACTGACCCAGAAGTTGCTCGAGATATGCTGGAACAGGAACGACATCGGCTCGCACGCGGAGATCTCCATGAAAACCCGGCGAACGAAAAATACAGATCGAGCGAAGACTAACAACGATCCGGAATGGAAGAAACAGCGTTCGAGGAACACCCAAGGATCAGTTATCATCGGAATCCAAAATGAATCGTTCGCTGAAGTTCTGATGAAGCTCAGGAAGGAAGTCGACATGGAAAGCCTTGGCGTAGACATCCGGGGAGTAAAGCAAACGGAACAAGGGTTGAAGCTCCGAGTGAGAGAAAGGCGAACAGGAGGTCAAACAAGGCTGGCACAGTACATCGAGGAACACATGAGTATGAAAACTCACGTCAGGGTGCCAGCTCAGAACACCATCCTTGCCATCTACAACATGGACCTAGCGACGAGCGAAGAGGAGATCGAAAGAACTCTACGGAAGACCATCAGCCTCAGGGCGGAGACTCCGATCAAAGTTGAGAAAATAAGAACCAACGAGAAAGGGCAGAGATCAGCTCTCGTCAGACTTGCGCGACCGGACGCCGACAGACTCCTGAGGCTTGAGCGAATCAAAATTGGCTGGGAAATCTGCAGAATCCGAGAATGGCAGACGGTTGCGGTTTGCTACAGGTGTCAGGAGATCGGCCACCGTGCGCACGAATGCAAAGAGAAAGAAACCAAGGCGAAAGTATGCTACAAATGCGGCAAGGAGGGACACCTCACCAAAGCCTGCGAGGAGACTGAGGTATTCTGCCAGAACTGTCAGGCAGAGGGACACTCCAAGTATTCTTCTAGATGCCCTACCTACAAGATGATGCTGGAGCACCAATTTACAGAAGAAATCCCCGCGAGAGCAAGCGCATACCGGAGGCAATGCGCCGGGAAATACCCGGGAGAGCGAATCGACTCTTTCAAAGGAGAGCGAACAGGCCAACAGCCTCAGCAGCGGACAAGCGCAGACCCGGCAGACCGAAGGAATGTCCACTGAAGAGACGGAAGAAGGATGGAAGCTCGTACAAAGCAGAAGAAGGCCAAACAGCAAGAGTCGAGATGATTAAAATAATCCAACTTAATCTTAATAGGACCAGAGCCGCACACGCCGCGCTGGAAATGCATGTACAAAACCATGGAATAGATATCTGTATACTTAGCGAAGTCAATAAGAAAATATCCGAGGCATACGGCAAGAGAGACGAGGGATGGCTTGCAGATGAGACAGGAGACTCGGCCATCTGGATCACCGGGGTAGGGCCCCAGCTCAGGGTTCGGAACTCGACCACAAGCCAGGGACTCACCCATGTAGAACTCGAGGACGGACCCCACCTAGCAAGCTGCTACTTTTCCCCGAACAAGAGTGACGAAGAATTCGTGGACTACCTCGAAAGCATACAAGATCTCATTAGAGACAAGCAAATGTACGCATGGATAATCGCGGGAGATTTCAACGCGGCGTCCTGTACCTGGGGAAGCCGCAGAACATCGCGAAGAGGATACGAGCTCGAAGAGTTTGCCGCCACGAATAATCTATCCATTCTGAATGATGGGGAAAGTCCAACGTTCACGAAGGGAGTACTGCAGTCCTTCATAGACATCAGTCTAACTAACAGACCGGAGCTCGTGGAATACTGGAGCGTGAAGGAATCGACAGAGATGATCAGCGATCATCAGCCCATAGAACTGCATTTTCGCACCGGGAGGCAGGCCAGAGGGGAACAACAACCCTACCAGAAGAAATGGCGAGGAAGAGACCTGTGTCGACAGGAGTTCTTCTCGAAGGTAGATTCGGCTTGCCAGGAAGCGAAGGACAGAAAGACAATCGTAGACGACAAATTCGTATCTGAACTCCTTTCCGCAGCATGCAGTGCCTCGGCCCCACAACACTCGAGTCACCTCAGGAAGAAAAAACCTGTCTATTGGTGGACTAAGGACATTGGAGAGGCGAGGAGGCGGTGTATTCATGCAAGGAGGCTCTTCACCCGCGCAAGGAAACGAGCCCAAGACAACCCGGTCGGAGTCGAAGTCCTAAGGACAGCCTACAAGGCCGCGAGAGACAGCTATCAAAGCGAAATTCTCAAGAGCAAGCGACAAAAATGGAAAGAGCTGTGCGAGTCAGTGAAGAACGACATATGGGGCCTCCCATACCAGATTATTCGAGAAAAAATCGGCAGGAGAAGGCTCAAGATACCGAGAGAGAAGACGGACAAAGCGATCGCGGAGCTCTTTCCGAAAGGAACACCCTTCGAGCGACCCAAGTTCCTTGTGAATCCGACAGAAATCCCGAAAATTACAACCCAAGAAGTGAGAGCCGCCGCCGAAAAACTCGCGACTGGGAAGGCCAACGGCGCGGACGGGATTCCACCCGAGGCAGTCAAGCTACTGATGAGCCGATGGCCCGAAATTTTCGCAGAAATGGTGGATAACATCTTAGCAACAGGGGACTTCCCGGAAAGATGGAAAACCGCCCAGCTGATTCTTATCCCGAAATTAGGAAAGAAGGACGCGTATAGACCAATATGCCTCTTGGACACGACCGCAAAGGCTGTCGAATCTATCCTGAACCGGCGACTCCAAGAGGAACTACAGGACAAAGGAGCCCTCTCCGACAGCCAATACGGCTTCCGACCCAAGAGGTCCACTATTACAGCCTTGGAAAACGTGTATGATGCCGTCAACATGGAGCTGCAGAAACCACCATGGCGGAGAGCGAGAACGCTCATCGTGCTTCTCGATGTTAAGAACGCCTTCAACTCCGTGGAATGGTCAGTGATCCTGAAGAACTTACGATCGAAGGGCATATCCGAATATCTCCAGAGGACTCTGTCATCCTACCTCAAAGACAGACACATCATCGACGAAGATGGAAGAAGACACGGAATGACAGCCGGGGTCCCGCAGGGCTCTGTGCTGGGACCTACGCTGTGGAATATAGCGTACGACGGAGTCCTACGTCTGCGACTACCGGAGGGA